TCATGAAAAATACTTTTTTTACCAAATTTGCTTTTGTGTGGTTGTAAAACTATATTTTGCATTTGCCGTATATACTGATCATAAATTGAATTGATTTCGTCGAAACTGAATGTTTTTTATTATTCTTTACATTATAAATGAACATGCAAATCTGCACTGATAGCAGGCAAGCCCTTTTAGCCTTGAACAGACAACGTATTACCTCAGGGCTAGTACTAGAGTGCCACCAAGATTTAGCCAAAGCCTCGGTAGATAACAGCATTATCCTGAGGCAGATATACCTGTTCCTGATAAAATGTCCATATCAAATACTGCCGTCTCAGCCTCTTTCGAAAAACTCGAGAGAAGTGAAAATTATATGACTGCAAGTACGCCATGAAAATTCATCTCATCAATGGCGAACTGTTGGAATTATGTAAATGGAACAAAATATGACAAAGAAGCCGGTTTTGACGGTAAAAGTAAACGAGCACTTGGCTCCATAGTGTCTGGTGTGAAAACTCATATCTACACTGAACTGAGGAAATTGAAAACAGGCAAAGAAGTGTGGGATCGCTTAGCTAAAATCTTTGAACCCAAAGGATTTTCAAGAGTTGCTGCTTCAATCGAACAATTGGTAATGATAAAGTACAATGACTGTAGAGGCATGGATGATTACCTTTCTAAAAAAGTGAAGTTAGCTCAACAACTTAAAGCAATCGACCACGAAATAAAAGATGGTGTCTTAGCTGCACTTCTTTTTGTAAGTCTTTCGGATTATTACAAACCGTTAATCATGGCTTTGGAAAATTGTGGTGCTCAACTTACAATGTGAAATTTGATTTTTTTTGGACTCTGTGAAGTACTAACTTCACATCATTTTTTTTGGATTAGTAGGCCATGTCCGAAAGAAAACATGAATTCGGCCTTTTGCACGAAGAAAAAGTCTTGAGTAGGTTTATCTTAGAATTTTGAGAGTTCGCAGCTTTTTTTTCTTTTCTAGGAGGTTACGATTCTTTATTTCCCTAATAAACCCAAATAAATCGCGCTATTTCTCCAATCTTTAAAACATTACTTATTATCGCTCAAATAAGACGCTCGAACGCGCGATGCTTCCGCTCTATCCCTTCGATACGCGGCATCGCGACTTTTTTTAACTCGCTCCCCTACGCTTAAAGACCTCCGTCCACGACTTTTCTTTTCCCACTGCCTCTCGCCGGCCACTTTTTCAAGATCCGTTTCGTCATCTCCCTCGACCAATTCCGGGAGGCTCTCTTTCTCTCGGGGTCAACTTCAATTAGTCGAGATCATGATTAATTAACCCATAACCTCGCCTTTTCTTTAATGGACGCTAAGCTCAGTTTCAAGTCTCAGAATTCCGACTTCCCACGAAATTGTTCACTCAGCAAAACTTCGAAAGCCTTTTCTTTAGATTACTGTCGCCAATCTACAAGTCTTTATCACCTTGGTTGTTTATTTTATCCAAGATTTCCGTCCAGCGGTCCCGTATTTGAAATAATAATATATGACCCACAAGTGTTCTTACATAAACATTTTCTCCTTCTCGCTAGTTAGCCGATAAATTTCAAACTGTTATTTCCTTCATGACTGAAATGGTTTTTTTTTGTTTTTTTTTTCTTAAAGCGATAATTTTTTTTCGAACGTCGCCGGTGAAATTTGTGGATTTCAGGCAAATTATTCTATGTTTTAAAATACTGACATTGCTAGGTATTACAACAACAGACTTGGTGAAAGAACGTCTTTCTGCAGAAGCAGTCAAATTTGAAAACAACAAGAAAGAACCCGCCTTCCTGATGAAGAAAAGACCAGTTGAAAAAATGTTCAAGAGAAAATGTTACATCTGTCATAGAGTAGGTCATCGAAAAGAAGTGGAAAGACGAATGTAGGTCACATCAATGAATCCGGTTTGATTATACATTCTTCAGTCCTTGGTATTGGAAATCTCACCCCAAATGACTGGTATATTGATTCAGGAGCATCTGTTCACGTTACTGGCAGAAAAGATTGGCTCAAAAACCTCAAAGCAGTTGGAAATCGAAATACAATAGTTACTGCTTCTGGAGAGAAGTTTGATATAGAAGAAATTGGTGAAACTACTGTTCTTTTGAATATCAAAACTCCAATCCGTGACATAAGATATGCACCTGGACTCAAATTCAATTTAATTTCATGCCGACAGTTGGGAAGAAAAGGATTTAAAACTACTACCTTTGAGAATGATATAATATATCAAATATCAAACATTTCTACAGGAAAAGTTATAGTGGTTGCAAATTTAACTGAAAGTGGGCTTTATAAATTGGATGGCATACACCAACGTGTAGAAATAATGGGTTATACAAAATCACAAAAATGTTTGTCTTATGATATTTGGCACCAAAGACTAGAACATTTGGGTGCTGGTGGTATGAAGTTACTACCGAAGGTCTTTGTTTCGATAAATGTCAGAGTGAAAAATTGTGACAGTTGTATTCAAGGAAAACAAACTAGAAAACCATTTCCAAAAGGTAAGGCTATAAGAGCCAGTAGAAAATTGGAACTCATCCATTCGGATATTTGCGGATCGATGCCAGAAAAATCAATTGAAAAAATTATACTTTCTCACATTTACTGATGATTTTACCCGAAAAACATTCGTTTATTTCCTGATCAACAAAAATGAGGTGTTGAAAAAATTTAAAGAATTTTCAGCAGAGGTTGAAACAAGTACAGGTAATAAAATCGCTGCTATTAGAACTGATAATGGAACTGAGTATGTGACCTGAAATTTTCAAGAATATTTTCGCCAAAAAGGTATTCAACATCAAACAACAGTTGAATACACGCCAGAGCAAAATAGTGTTGCAGAGGGAATAAACAGAACTCTAGTTGAAAAGGCCCGTTCAATGTTGCAAGATACAAACTTATCTAAAGAATATTGGGCGGAAGTATTTATTATGGCTTGTCATCTGAAAAGCAGAAGTCCTACGATTGCAGTTCATGGCAGAACCCCAGAAGAAGCGTGGCGCGGACGAAAACCAAATCTGGAAAATCTACGAATTTTCGGCTGTGTCGCGTATGCTCACATACCCAAAGTGAAGATAACAAAATTTTACTCTAAAATACAAAACTACGTTTTTGTAGGTTATTGCAAAGATTCCAAGACATGCCGGCTAATAAATATGAAAACACTGAATGTAAGTAAGGCGCGTGATGTTATTTTTGACGAACAAAAAAATGGCTTCAACTAGTCTTCATTCTTCGGTGAACGTAT